TTACGACCCTGATACGCAACTTTTCCTCCCGGACGACAACCTACCGAGTACTGAAGAACTGAAGCATCCGAAGAACCAGGAGCGACTTGAGTGGCATTCCATGCTGGCGTCTGTCTTGAAGGGAGACGTAGTGAAACAAGAAAAACAACGACTCATCGGATCTGCGGAATCAAAGCGGTCGGCGGCCCAGAGCTATGCACTTTGGATCGGCGTTCGGGCAAGAACGTGCGGCCGGAGTATCCCTCTGCAGCGAAAATTGATCGAGGACGCACGGTCACGTTTGGGTCCCATAATTGAGGATATCATCGGATTCCAGATTAAAGGCGAGACTGAGATTGGGAAACCGCCAAAACAGCAAGTCGAGGATATCGTGGAAAAGGTGGAACGATGCGAAATTCTTTATTCTTCGCACAAGGAAATGGAAGTTGCAAACCCTCGTGTTGCCTCGGAGGAATTCACCTCTAGCCGCGCGGCCATCTTTGCGTGGCACAACATTACAGCTCTCATCAACACCGAGCTGGCTGTGCTGCAAAGCTGGGTAGGGAACGAGGCTCTTGATTTCAGTCAACCGAGGGTCAAGTCTGCTAAGGACGATCTTTCGGATGGCTCCTCCTTCCTTGATCGCATTATGAAGGAAGATGGTTTGAAGACGCTCCAGGACAAGGATGGCATGCTTCTTCGCATTCTCGTTGTCATCCAGAAAGCGAAGAGTACCCTGATCGAAAACTCGGAAGCATTTGCCGCGCGACACTTGCCGCCATATATCGAAGAACTACTAACATTGATTAACTTTCCCTCTCGGTTGATCCAGGAAATAATTCGAGTCCGTCTGTCCTATGCCAAGAACATGAAAGACCCAGCCCAGCAAGCCCCCATTTTGATTGATCAGATGATTTCCCAATTCCAAATCCTGATGAAAGTGGCGGTCGATATTAAATTCCGCTACCTCGATGTCTCGAGGCCAGAACCCGGCTGGGATTTGCCGCCGTGTGTCGATGAGAACTTCGATAACTCGGTCTTGGATGCTATGAAATACTATTTCCGGCTCCTCAACTGGAAGTTGAATGCCAACAAGAACACTTTCAAGGAGGCTGAAATTTTGGAACAGGAATGGGGATTCTCCTATGACATCGGTTGTCGACTTGACGGTGGAGACATTGAGGTGGCCGAACAATTCAGGTAAGGTTCCCGTGCTTTGCGTCATTATCAAAGCTAACAAGAACAACAGTGCCCTCACTGCCAGATCACTCCAGCGTCTCATGATTCACTTTGAACGTGAGCTCGTCCCGAGACCCAAGGAAACTGTACAGGACATGGACAAACGATACAAGAGCATTTTGGATTCAACGCGCATTCGTCAGCGCAAGCTCTATCGATTCTCCAAGTTTCTGTGCCAGTTGTTCGAGAATGCTACCGAGTACAACATCACGACTGATGTCGCTTATGATTTCTTTGAGGCACTTTTAATTTCCGACCATTTCCTCGTCACCTCTACCACATCCGTTGGGCAGAAAGGAGTTTATCTGGTTGCGCATCATGCATTATGGAACCGTCCCGCCGATATCCAGGGTATCTTATCTACCTCATTCAAAGAAGATGATCCAACCCAGGATGTCCATGTTCCCTATGTCCTAGCCATCCGACCCGAAAAGCCTCTTGCCTGGGCCGGAAAGGAAATGCAAATGGAGTTTTTGGAACATCCGACAGATGTACGGCTGGGTAAGCTACGTATTGTTGTTGGGGGCATGCAAGAACGACTCCAGAATGCACGTCTGGAGCTCGCACGACTCACAGGCATCCAGCTTGATATGGTCATTGAACAACGTGCAAACCTTGGACGTGTAAACGTCGAATTAAACAAGATCAAGAAGATCTCTTTCAAACTGTCCATGACCATTATGGATAGTGTTGCTATCATCAAAGATCAGCTGCATGAGAGAAACTGGGAGAACAATGATTTGATCCAGGCCTGCTATGCATTTGCAACAGAGTTTGGCAAACGGTCCTCCAACTACGTTGACGCTAACAGGCGTGCTATGAACAGTGCCCGGCTGGTGGAGTTGTCTCTAGACTGGGTCGCGTTCATCTGTGATGAGTGTGACGCTGCGGACCGAAAAACCTTCAAGTGGGCTGTGGCAGCCCTTGAGTTTGCGATGGCGATCACATCTAGCCGACATCTTCTCTCTATGGATCAAGAACAGTTCAGTGATTTCAGATTGAAAGTGGCGGGGTGCATGTCCCTCCTCATTTCTCATTTCGATATCATGGGTGCGCGGTCTTCCCTTGCGGCGAAGAACGAAAAACGCATGGAAGAACGCAATGGAGCCCGGCAAATTGGCGCTGGCCGGATCACCAGCGACGAGGAAGCAGCAAAACTCGTTCGCGAAACATGGTACGCACGTGTTGTGGAAATTGAAGATAGGAGAATTGAGGAAGATGCGAAGCGCCAGGCTCTAGGAAAGGTGCTTGAAGGATCTGACGAGGCTGATCGGTCACTCACCGTGCTATCGTCATCGGCTACCAATGTGACTCTGCGTTGGCAGCAAGGCCAATTCATTGGTGGCGGTACCTTTGGGTCTGTCTACGTGGCCATCAACTTGGACAGCAACTATTTGATGGCCGTCAAAGAAATTCGCCTTCAAGACCCCCAGCTCATTCCCAAGATCGCCCAGCAGATCCGAGACGAAATGGGCGTCCTTGAAGTGCTCGATCATCCGAATATTGTCTCCTATCATGGGATTGAAGTGCACCGTGACAAGGTTTACATCTTCATGGAGTACTGCTCAGGTGGCTCGCTCGCTAGCTTGCTAGAACACGGGCGTATTGAGGACGAAACGGTCATCATGGTTTATGCTCTTCAGCTCCTAGAGGGTCTAGCGTATCTTCACGAAGCCCATATTGTGCACCGTGACATCAAACCCGAGAATATCCTGCTCGATCACAACGGTGTCATCAAGTACGTTGATTTCGGTGCAGCCAAAATCATCGCCCGCTCCGGCCGCACAGTTGCCCCAATGGACAACCCTCAAGGAGCCGGTTTCAAGGAACCTGCCAAAGATCCCGCGAACCAGCGCAAAAACCAGAAGACCACCACGGGAACTCCGATGTACATGTCACCCGAGGTCATCCGTGGCGACGCTGCAAATCTAGACAACCGCCAAGGCGCTGTGGATATCTGGTCTCTGGGCTGCGTGGTTCTAGAAATGGCAACTGGGCGCCGGCCATGGTCCACCCTGGACAACGAGTGGGCAATTATGTACAACATCGCCCAAGGCAAACAGCCCGCGCTTCCATCTCGAGATCAACTCAGTGACCAAGGTATCGACTTCGTGCGCCGCTGTTTCGAATGCGATCCCGCTCGCCGCGCCACTGCTGCCGAGCTCCTACAGCACGAATGGATCAACTCCATCCGCCAACAAGTTGTCTTGGATTCCCCTACTCCGAGCAGCGATTATAGCAGCGGTTCCAACTCAAGCTCTCGTCAAAACTCGACATATATGTGATTCCCTCTTCCTTGCGCCATTCTTCCCTTCCTAGTTCCCATTTCTATTATGTCGCCCTTTTTATGTGGACGGCATCTGAACTTTATTATTATGGAACTTAAAAGCGTCTTTTCTACCCAAACTCGCTCGATCTCGCCATCCTCGATTGACATCGCATGTGATACCCCATCTCGCCTCTTTTTCTTGCTTTAACGTATTTTGTCCCCAAAAGCCATACCATAACGCTATTTCATATTAATGTGTCATCTCTTCATTTATGTCCTGGATCATATCAACACATTGTTTATTTTGTCTGGTTTCACGCGTGGGTTTCTATATTCGGCGCGAGGATCTTTCGGAATTTTTCACTATGGCCCTCGGACGTAAACGAATCGGGGCCAAGTCTGTTCTATTATTTTGCTCGTTGCATGGTGGTTCATTTTTGGAACATATATACAGGATATAATTGAATTTATGAATTGCTCTGAATCCACACTTCACCTCGTTATGATATCGCTAGATCTCGGGGTCGGATAATTTAGCTTTCGCTGAGTGTGGATGTGTCCTAACATACCTGCGATCCTCACAAGCTACCCATCTCACTAGTTTCTGCTAGCGCTGTATAATATCTAACCCTTTTAATCAATCGGATGATCGACAGGAGGGATTCCCACAGTGAGGAGCCACCCGAATATTTCCGTCATCCGATCGGCACCTGCATGATCACGTTATATAGTTGGTTTACGGTGGATGTTGTGTTCCTCCTAATTAGTCTTCAATCAGTGTTTGCGAACTGGCTCCAGTCCCCGGGGGTAGCCGCCGCTTCCTGCACTGTGCTCTATTGTGTAAATCGGCCAGCGAAGGAGCTGTATAGAAAAATATCAATATGGCCCTAGGGCCTTCGAACAATGTACGATTACCAAGAACACGTAGTGAAGATTTTCAATAACTGGCTTGTCAGTCAACAACTGAGATGGAAGATAACAACACTAAGTTAACACAAGATAGGTGAGGAATAAGAAACATGAAGGAAAAAGATGATGAGATTAGGACTCCAAACAGAGGGTGTAGGATAACCAGAACCAGGTCGCCGGAAGTGGGGACGGAAACGCCGTTTCGTAGATTGCAATATCGTGAGACATAAGGGTCAATTTGAGGATGAGTTGTGGGGGTCTAGGCTTTGCCTGGAAAGGGATATGGTCTTGGAAATCTTCAAATGACATGAACAGTCGAAATGATGATCAAAACACATAAGCGACGGCGGTGGAGTGCGAGAGGAATAGAGGATGGCATAGAGGGTATTTGAGGAAGAGCAAACGGGATAATGAACCCAATGGAGTTTTGAGAGAACCAAGCTTCTCATTCGGAATGGTGACCAGGAAGCACTGCTTAGCCATATAGTACCAGACACAACAGCAAGAGGGCGAGTATGAGACACACGAAGACTGGGTGGTCACGTAGGAAGTCATACATGAGATCGTTTTGGGCACCAGCAAGCAAGTTCGGCGATATTAGCGGTTAGCGGAACTCGACTGCTGGTGCACATCCACGATCTTCGACATGCTTCAGTTCAAGCTGTTGAAACCTGTAATCGAATTAGCGTCAGAAAAATCGAGAATATTCGGAAAGAAAACATCCACGTACCGCTCGCTCTTCGCATGGAAGTATACGCCGCTCACAGTTCCCTCAATCTGGTTGAAGCAGATGTAATAGAACCCTTCAAAGCTAGCACCTGAGATCGTCCGTACTCGATGGTCGGGAACAAGGAAAGATTCCTTCCATCTCATGAATACGTGTTCACGCTGGGCGAAGTTCCGGTATGTGAAATCCGCTCGTTTAGCCTGTTTAGCCAGCGGACGCCAAGCAGGGAACCGAGACCAATGGTGCAAGTCTGTCTTTTCCGACGCACCCCATTCCTCATTACGAGTCTGGAAAGTGTGTTTAGTGCCGATTATTTCTCCTTCAAAAAAGGTGGTCAAGGTCGGATGATCTTCTGTGAGGCCTGTGGAGAACAACAAACATTAGTTGAGCTAGGCTAATGCACGTCCCGGGTGCGCACGAATCACATACCTTGGATTCTAAGGTAGCCACAGAGATAGGACTCAGCCATATCCACATGCTTGATCTCGACATCGACATTGTAAACCTGGCGGTCTGATTGCTGAGTCCCTGCGAACTTGCTGCCTGAACGAAGAAACGAGGTGTGGTTCGGCAGAAGCTATGACGATGGTTAGAAGGTGGCATAATCCACCGGTAGGGTCGATACTTACACGAACGTTAGAGAATTCCCAGTTGAGAAGTGACGATCCCGGGGGCGCTGTAGGTGACTGGCTGCGAAGGCAGGTTGACTCGGCAGGGGAGGTAGCCCGGACTGGGTCATCCTCCTCAACGCCCGTCGGCTTTCCTTCCGACTTCATCGGTTCGGGGGTGCTACCATCATCGGATCGACTCAGCATGGAGGGCGCAATTGGAATCTCGGGTGAGAGAGCATCGAGAGGATCGCTGTTCGATACAGTATCGGGAGAGTCTCGCCAAGCCGAGATCCTCTCAGGCTCCGGTGGACATGTCGTGCGGGCGGCGATCGCTGTGGCGATCGAGTTGTTACTCGGAGTTGGCATTGCAAATTAGGGAAAGAGGAGAGGGGACATTGAATCGAAGCAAAACACTCCAAAGCAAAATAAAAAGAGAAAAAAGAGAGCAAGGGGGATGAATCATTCGAGATCAGCGAACTAAGTCTTTTAAGGCCTTGAGGAACGAGCAATGCGGGGACAGACCAGGTGGGTCAGCTGTTTCTGCGCCTGGCGCGGCGCCACCGTCAATATCGGTTATGTAATGTAGATGCCTCAGGCCACAAATTAAAGCCAAGGTTTGGTCTATACCTAAATAGGTACATAGTTATGCAGTTACATGTATGTACAATGTTGTACATTATAAGGATCAATGGTATGCCCAATCTTTTATCCAAATCAGGATAGGTTGGGCAATTTTGGGCACCCGTGGACATTCCAGGATGAGTTCGAGGAGAGTATGGTTGTTTATATAATCATGCCTAAATAACTTCAATGTTCCCTTATACAAGCCCAACTTGATGTCCCGGTGAAGCCCCAGTCCCAATATATACCTCCCGACATCGCTGATGTGGATATCAATTACGAACTCAACCATATTATGGTGCCCCCGGGAGTATTAACGAGGTGATCCGGCAGCGGAACTGAAAGTCCTTAAATCACACATAATTGGGAGAGCTCGCAGGGCGTGTACAAGTGTAAGGCCTCAAGGAACTTGTCCCAGACTTGAGAAATTAGTGCCGAATTGTCATTGCAGCGAATTGGATATATAAAGTGAGAAATATCACCTGCGGTAGGAATAATAGGTTCGATGAACCCCTCATCTCTCATCGGAGATCCTAGGACCTAAGGCTCGAACAAAATTCCTAAGCTATCTTCTGCCACGTTTTTGAGCATCTTGCTTTGGAACATTCATACTAGCCCAAGCAGCTACAGGCACACAAGACATAAACTGTTTAGAAAGGATCGAAGGTAAACATGCCTGAGGCCTGAGGGGTATCAATCTCATTGTTTTTGCGCTATAACTGGGTCCGCATCCCAAGAAACCCTCAATGAACGCCTGAAGTGTCATCAAATCAAAACCCCCAATTATTCTTCAATTTATTTTATGCGCTCAATAACTAAATGGGCTTGATCTGTAAAGCAGAGGATGGTCAAACGATGTCCGAAGCCTAGGGGGCAAGATTGATAATACCTTAAAGTGAAGAGAGATCAGCGAGAACACAAGAGCTTTCAGATCCTGCACAAGATAGTAAAAGACTCGAAGTCCTTCGGGGTCGTCGGATTCGGTCACATCGACTAGTGAGCCGATCTTGGCGGTCTATACAATTCAATATTAGCTAATGGATGCTTCCATAAGCCAGCTCGGTCAATTACCTCGAAGGAGATGTGCTCATTTCCAATACGAATCTCCAGTTCCTGGCGTCCGTCCTTATTCTTTTGGGGCCACTTGGAGTCATCCTCCCTAGAAGGGGTCAGCGCGCGTTCTTCCTGTGAGGCAATGTGAGTGCATACTTGAGGATCTCACTATCCTTGATAATGCGCTTCACTTCTTCGACCATCGCATCACTCACGCACACTATTACTCTATCAGTTTGTGTTCGATTTTCATTGTTGGTATGTATGCTCTTGCTTACTTTCTTTGCGGATGAGGGAATCATTGCGGTAGTTCGAGTTGTTTGCATATCGTACGGCGGCGCTGCTACCTTCGGAAATGGTACGGAGATCAAACTCTGCATGCAAGTTAGCGACTGAGTAGAATAAAGTAATCATGACCGCGCGTAGATTACTTACCTAGGAACTCATGTCCAAACCGCCCAGAATGACCTGAGCTGTGAGGACCGTCAGCAGCTGAGGAAACCCGGGCTCACTCATATCATTCTTACTAGTATCGGAGGTAGAAATTCTCATTCGACATCCTGGGGAAACTCAATCGTGGGGGTCGTAAGTGAATGGGGAGAGTAGCAATCGACGTCGAAGTGGCAGTTGAAAAGCGGCCGGGCTGTGGCTTAGTCATCCACACAGACGGCGCCGGGGGGGGCCAGATTAAGGGACAAGTTGATGGTCCCTCCCCATTGCGCTTCATATAACATCTAATGATTTCTAGGCTGGCGAGGGGTGTTGCTTTACACTAATTGCTTGTTCTTGATATCTGGCGCAACCTCCTATTCCCGGGAGAATTACCCCTACTGTATGTGTTGATTCCTACATGCTGATGTGTCCCCAAAACAACCCCGGAACTGACAACTTGCAGCTCTCTTTCGTTCCGATTCCCCCCAATCCACCACCATGGCGTCGTTCCTTGAAAACACCTACAGTTTGCTCCATGTGGACAATACTGCCGATCAGCCCACTGTGCAAGAGCTGAAACTGCAGCTGGAGAAAGGCAACGATGAGAGCAAGTTGGAAACAATGCGGACAATTGTCACCATCATGCTGAATGGAGATCCTATGCCGCAAATCCTCATGCACATCATTCGCTTTGTGATGCCGTCGAAAAGCAAGTCATTGAAGAAGTTGCTCTATTTCTTCTATGAAATCTGCCCCAAACACGATTCTACTGGCAAGCTCAAGCAAGAGATGATCCTGGTCTGGTAAGGATGCCCCTGGCCATTGCTATGTGGTATTTTTTGTCTGACAAGTCTTTCTTTCGCAGTAACGGCATTCGCAACGATCTTCAACATCCCAACGAATACATTCGAGGCAATACTCTCCGATTCCTCTCCAAACTCCGCGAACCAGAGCTCATTGAGCCCCTCCTCTCCTCCGCACGTTTGTGTCTGCAACATCGTCATGCCTATGTCCGCAAGAATGCCGTATGGGCTGTATCCTCTATTTTCCAGCACTCCGAGTCCCTCATTCCCGACGCGCCGGAGCTGCTCCAGGTGTTCCTCGAATCGGAGACCGACAGCACCTGCAAGCGCAATGCCTTTGCCGCACTTATGTCCATTAGCCACCAGAAGGCGCTTGAGTATCTGCGTACCACGTTTGACACAATTCCCAACACAGACGAGCTGCTCCAGCTAGCCGAGTTGGAGTTCCTCCGGAAGGATGCAGTACAGAACACTCAGAATAAGGTGGGTTTACAGCGTTCTAAGTAATAATATCGGCGTCACTAACGTACTATAGTCGCGATACCTGAAACTAATGCTGGAGCTCCTCGACGCCTCCACCAGCACCGTTGTTTACGAAGCCGCAACGTCTCTTACCGCCCTCACAAGCAACCCTGTCGCCGTCAAAGCCGCCGCGAGCAAGCTGATCGAGCTCGCTATCCGGGAGGGCTGACAACAACGTCAAGCTCATTTGTTTGGAACGTGTGGACCAGCTCAGAATTCGCAATGAGGGTGTTTTGGACGACCTGACCATGGAGGCCCTGCGAGTTCTCAGCAGCCCTGACATTGATGTCCGGAGAAAGGCTCTCAACCTTGCTATGGAGATGGTCTCGAGCAAGAACGTGGAAGAAATCATCATGCTGCTCAAGAAAGAACTTGCCAAGACCGTCGACGAACAATATGAACAGGTAGGTTATACAGTTACTTTGCACAATCCGGCAGTACTAACGACTCCCACAGAATAGCGAGTATCGCCAAATCTTGGTACAGTCAATACACTCCTGCGCGATCAAGTTCTCCGAAATCGCTGCCAGCGTGGTTGATCTCCTGATGGACTTTATTGCCGACTTCAATAATAACTCCGCCGTCGATGTGATCTCGTTCGTCAAAGAGGTCGTGGAGAAGTTCCCTGACTTGCGTGGGTCAATCGTAGCCCGCCTGGTTTCAACTTTGAGTGAAGTCCGAGCTGGCAAGGTCTACCGCGGAGTTCTTTGGGTTGTTGGTGAATACTCCCTGGAGGAGAAGGATATTCGGGATGCTTGGAAGACGATCAGAGCCAGCCTTGGTGAAATCCCAATTTTGGCATCCGAACAACGCCTCCTGGATGAGGTTCCAGATGACAACGCCCTGCTGATGGAGCAGGCCAATGGCCAATCTAAGGCCGCACCCACTGGATCCCGAAAGGTGCTTGCAGATGGCACCTACGCTACCGAAAGCGCTCTCACCAGTCAATCGGCGGCAGCAGCTCGTCTCGAGGCTGTCAAGGCCGCACAAAAGCCTCCTCTGCGCCAACTTATTTTGGATGGCGACTACTATCTCGCAACGGTGCTCTCTTCGACTTTGACCAAGTTGGTGATGCGTCATTCCGAGGTGTCGCAGGATACCGCTCGCACCAACGCTCTGCGTGCCGAGGCCATGCTTATCATGATTTCCATCATGCGCGTTGGCCAATCCCACTTCGTTAAGGCTCCTATTGACGAGGACTCTGTGGATCGTATCTTGACCTGTGTGCGATCCCTGGCTGAATTCTCGGAGAAGAAGGAGCTCGAAGCCACTTTCTTGGAGGACACCCGAAAGGCGTTCCGTGCCATGGTCCAGGTCGAGGATAAGAAGAGGGCTGCCAAGGAGGCAGTGGAAAAGGCTAAGAGCGCCGTCCAGGTTGACGATGCTATCCCCATTCGCCAATTCACCAAGAAGAACGCCGTCGAGGGCGGAGAGGAGATCGAAATGGATCTTGCCAAGGCAACCGGTGGCGATTCTACCGTGGAGGATGTTTCTTCGAAGCTCAGCCGGGTGGTGCAATTGACTGGTTTCTCCGACTCCGTTTATGCTGAAGCCTATGTCACCGTTCACCAGTTCGACATTGTTCTTGACGTCCTGTTGGTTAACCAAACAACGGAAACTCTGCAAAACCTGTGCGTAGAGTTTGCAACTCTCGGTGACCTGAAGGTCGTTGAGCGGCCATCCACCAACAACCTCGGCCCACGCGATTTCTTGAATGTCCAGGCTACAGTCAAGGTTTCGTCAACCGACACCGGTGTTATCTTTGGTAACATTGTCTATGACGGCGCCAGCTCTACCGAGACCCATGTGGTCATTCTCAACGACATCCATGCCGACATCATGGACTATATCCAGCCTGCTCACTGCACTGAGACTCAGTTCCGTACTATGTGGACTGAATTCGAGTGGGAGAACAAGGTCAACATCAATTCCAAGGCCAAAACTCTGCGTGACTTCCTCAAGCAGCTGATGGAGAGTACCAATATGGCCTGCTTGACGCCCGATGCTTCGCTCAAGGGAGATTGCCGCTTCCTGAGTGCCAACTTATATGCGCGCAGCGTGTTCGGTATGTTTTCAACCCTCTGATAATCCACCCCTTTCTACTTGATATGATAACTGACTATTCAACTAGGCGAGGATGCACTAGCAAACCTAAGCATCGAAAAGGAGGGAGACGATGGGCCAATTACAGGATTTGTGCGGATAAGAAGTCGCTCCCAGGGTCTGGCACTGAGCTTGGGCTCTCTGAAGGGTCTCAAGGCAGCGACTGCATAAGTCAATGTTTTTCCAGCGGTTTGCGGTCTATATCATGCTTTTTTTATCCTTTTCCCCCTTCTTATCTTTCTGTTCTGTTCATTCGAGACGAATTTGTTTACTTATATGTCTCTTTATTGTGTAGATGAGATGAATGTCTCATCAGGAGTAGTGGATAGAGAACAATGTCTTTGATATTTCCAGGGTATTATAGTAGCCTCTAAACAGCTATAATCTATTTATATACATAAATGTCTTAGTATTCTTAGGAAATATATGTTGTATAGTACTATAGTACTATGGTTATTTGTTATTTAAGGGTTGTCATATTTTAAGATGCAGGGACCACACGCCTGGGCCCCATCGGAACTCCGCGGCTGCATATGGCACTTCCATTGTTCTTAGCATTTAACTTCCTCCTAGATTCATCTATTCCTCTTTACATATCTATAATGCCCTGAATCTCCCATCATTATCCAAAATGTCCTCCCCAGACAACTCTTTGCAGGATCCGCATGACACGACGCTGACTGTCGACGAATCGGTCACTTTGACCATCGGCGCAGACTCGCTCCTCATACTCGGTATGGACTACTCCACACCCGGCGCGTGGGCATATTCTCACCCATGCAGATGACCGCTCGGCTAAAGCAGATCGTCGCTGCTGCGGATTGCTCCAGTCTAGTAAGTTGGCACTGACCCCTCTGGTGATCGCGCGTTATCACGGGCGCTACTGTTGATGGAAATGATCTGACCAAGCTCTGCGCGCATTGTAGAACCAGAAACCAACCATGCCATTTCGCTGTACAACATCCTCAGCGCCGAAGTAACCGCTTCTAATCTAGTCATCGCTTATGCACAGCCTGCTGCCAAGGACGATGTTTCCGTAACGACCGTCCAATACCCAATCTCCGAAAAAGAAAAAAAGGCCGCCGAGACATGGGTGCAGCAACTACTTGACGGGGCATATGGTAAGGCACTGCGAGGAAAACGACTGAAGGTATTGGTCAATCCCTTTGGTGGGAAGGGGACAGCTGCGAGTTTGTATCAGCGATATGCAGCACCGGTTTTCGCCGCGGCGAAGTGTCAAATGGATGTACAGACCACGGAATACAGGGGTCAGGCAATCAACATTGCGGAAAATCTTGATATCGACGCCTACGATGCGCTTGTTTGCTGCTCTGGTGACGGCTTGCCATACGAGGTGTTCAACGGGTTGGGCAAGAGGCCAGATGCTCGAAAGGCGCTAGCGCAAACTGCCGTTGCGCTGCTCCCATGTGGCTCTGGAAATGGGCTGACGTGGAATGCTTTCGGGACTGGCAGCGTCTCGATTGCGGCGCTGGCAATCGTCAAGGGGCTGAGGACCCCGCTGGACCTAGTCTCGATCTCCCAGAAAGATTCGCGCACGCTCTCTTTCCTCTCGCAATCCTTTGGCATTGTCGCCGAGTGTGATTTGGGTACTGAGAACTTGCGTTGGATGGGCGCTCAGCGGTTTACATACGGTTTTCTAGTTCGTTTGATACGGCAGACGATATGGCCTTGTGATATAGCAATCAAGGTGGAAATTGGCGACAAGGAGGGGATCAAGAAACACTACGCTGCGTGGTCTACACGCCCAGAGGATCCGGATGCTGACAGCAAACGCCTCGAAATTGCTGCAGAGTCCCCAGGCTTACCAGAGCTGAAGTATGGCACAGTTACGGACGAGCTGCCCCAGGGGTGGGAGGCGGTCTCGGGAGAGACTATGGGAAATTTCTACGCGGGAAATATGGCTATCATGTCGAAAGACACAAATATGTTCCCTGCCACATTGCCGGACGACGGCTTGATGGACGTAATCACTATCGACGGAACAGTCAGTCGTGGTACAGCGATTACTATGATGAACGAAATCCCCAGCGGTCGCTTTTTCGACATGCCAGATCTCAATGTCCGCAAAGCGTCTGCGTTTCGTCTAGTTCCCCGCCAGAAGGAGGGCTACATCAGTATTGATGGTGAACGAATTCCTTTCGAAGCGTTCCAAGCCGAGATCCACCAGGGACTGGGCACGATACTCACCAAATCGGGTCGTGTATATGAGGCGGCAGGTCCTCGCTAAACCCTGCTTCCAATCCGCCTCTTGGATGAAATTCGCCATTGGCTATCGTCCGTCCCATCATTGTTGAAAGTCCGATTTCTATATATCCACTGCTTGCTGGGTCTTTGCATCCACCCATGATACCCTAACGCGAAAGAATAATTGGTGCTTTGTCTATAAATCGCATTAGATATTTGATATTCTGTGATCAGGCTATACAGTAAACCCCAAAGAAACAGGAGACCTGTGAATACATTTTGTAGCCCTTTACGCCTGCATCGCTAGCACCAGCTTCTTTATAGAACCTGTGACTGACTGATGGAGATAATCGCTAGCACGCTGTGCAATGAATTCAGTCTGTTTATACAAATCCTGTTCACATACTATAACTAGAATATTCATGCGAAGCCACCCCATTCCTCCTCACTGTCATCGTCCTCCTCAGACTTTCTTGTCCGAACGCCCCACTCGAACAACCGCTCATCTTCCAAGGCCTCAGCCGCCCTCGTCCGAACAGGCTTGTAAGCACTCTCGGCACGGAGCTTCTCCAGCGGTCTCAGAATAAGCTCAATGGGCACATTGCCCTTGATCTTCCGCTTGGGGGTCTCCTCATCCTCATCACCAGCCACCTCCTCAAACTCCAGAACCTTCTCCAACTCATCAACCCAGATGTCAATAAGATGGTAACGCAGCCCGTCGGGGCCGTGCGGCATAGGCACGTAATTTGGGTCTCCCTCATCCGGAGCCTGATCCTCATCATAGTTCAGCGGACACAAAGGACCCTCCTCGATAATGGAGATATAAGCCGCAAGATCGGGGAATTTAGCCTCAGCGTCTTCGGCACTGTCCTTCTCCTCCTCGTCTTCGACGGTCTCGGCCTCAGCCTGCTTCTTCTGCTTCTTGCCGCGACCCTGCTTGGCTGCGTCTTCGCGCTTGCGCTTTTTCCCGTCTGCGTTCTTTGTTGAGGTCTTGTTCTTCAAGAGAACTTCAAATGCCACGCCAACGTAGAAACGGATCAGCATCAGATACTTGTCCAGTCTGATGCGGTCTAGTGAGTGGTAGTCCCGGCCGATGGTGATCCAGAAGGCGCGCAGGAAGCGGTGGAGAGTTGCTTGGGGGAGGGAGGGGACGAGAGAGTAGGAGAGTGCGCGGGCGAGGGCTTGTTGTGTGAGGGGTCGGTCGGAGTGGTAGAAGCCTGGGGAAGGTTAGTTTTGTTGCGCTTTGTGTTCGGCGGATATAGTGGTAGTTCATACAGTAGAACAGGCCCTTCCACAGTTTGAGGAGATCAATGAGGGTCAGATCGGTGCGAGACTGCACGAATTTGGTTAAAGAGTCGAGAGCCTTGTCGCGGACTTTCCGGTCTAGAGGGATCGATTAGCATTGTAGTTTATCAATTGAGAAAACGAATATCCATACCACTCGAACCGAGCTCCCTCACGAAGGGAGTTTTTTGGCCGTCCATTGGTACGGTTTTATCTCAAGGAATGAGAAGACTAGCGATTGAGATGCTTTGATATCAAGATAGAGGTGGTCGTTGATCTCGGTGAAGGTATACAAAGAATACCCTTAAAAGGTACACAATTGAGTTGCGTTCAATCAAAAGTCCGAGACTATCGAACTGTCTTGATTCAAAATCCAGATCGAAGATTGCGATAAATTATTTTTTTTCTTTGCGATAGAGTTGTTTGCATTGTTTGTCCAAGAGCTCCAGATTGGTGATTACCTAAGAGGATTTGGAGCCTGAGGCATAAGGCAGCGCACTGTCCGCTGTCCACAAGTTGGGTAGAACAGCTCCCTATACATATCTACTGACAGAGAAGTTATGAAAAGCATTGGAAGATCATCTCTTTCTTGATTATAGATGTACTTCATATATAATGAGAAGCAATGCATGGATCCATCATCAAAGCTTACCTCGGAAGCCTTTGTCTAGAGAGCCTTAAGCATATTCAAGCCGTCGATTAGGGGTCAGTTGTCTATACATCTGCTTTATGCGGCCCTTCATACCTCCAAGGTTGGAAGATATGGGTGACTACTTACCTGGATAGGAGAGCCGTGTTTATAGTCCAGAATTGTCGATCAATGCTAATCGCCCACTGAGCGCCTGGTAAAAGTCAGTCTGAATAACAGGATCTTGATGATCAACTGTTTTAGTAGAGGTGATGCTGAAAATGGCATGAATAGTAGCCAATTTTGGCATCCAATTTCCCGCCATTGAGCGTTGTGTGTAAATATAATCGCCTTTCAAGCCATAGGGGCGCAATAGAAAAACTTTAGATAATGAATCGAATCTCGCCATCATTCATCATCCATCATATGTGCAGCCCAAACAACAACAAGGGCATTGAATCAGAAACCGTAAATGCCAATGCAAGAAACCATGATTATGAACGTGGCCTTCCACGTCTAGGTGGCAAGCCTGCATCAAGTAAGATAGTGATCGCCATATTTTATTTCGGCGGTTTAGCCTCCCATTCATCAATAAGCCGTGATACTTCCTTAAAAGAAACGGGCTTCATAAGGAAAAGGTCCACCCCCGAGTCTAAGGCCCTGAACTCATCGCGTGAACTACTGAGTCCTGTCAACGCGATGATTGTTGCCGGAATACAGTCATCCCGTTCTTTCTCAATTGCACGAATGGCACGTGTCGCCTCAAATCCGTCCATAACTGGCATAGACATGTCCATGAAAATAAGGTCATATCCCTGCACCATCCTTTCAACCGCATCGACGGCTGCTCTGCCATTCTCGGCTTTATCTAGAACCACGACTTTCCGTTTGTTCATGAAAGTCACCATGAGGTGGAGGTTGATGCTGTTGTCATCTACCACCAAGACCCGAGGTTTGTTTTGGCTCTCCGATAAGGTGTTAACATGATCCAAGCCCCCGGATGAAGACCCGGGATTGGTGGAATCAGCACTCTCAGACACTGTGCAGCCAGAGCTGTCAGTACACGATTTCAACACAAAAGCGCTACGCTCCGTGGGATCAATTGTGCAATTGCTCGAATCCGGTATGGGAATTGATGATTCAGCATCTGATAATCGTGGATTACCTGATACTGAAGGGTTGGACTCTTCAATTGGTAAAGCCGAGGCTGCAAAAGCGGGTCGATGTGGAATTAATATGCTTTTCCCGGGATTCGGCACATTCAACGTAAGGCTTGTCGGCTTTGCATCAAGACAGCCCAAAATACCGCGGGAAAGTTTTCGTGGACCACAGGGTCGATGTAGAATTGCCAGAGAGCCCGCAAGGTGCGACCATTGTGCCCGAGAATCACCGTAGTCACCTACCTCGCTGCAAAAGACGAGCAGACTTGGTAATTCGGGTGGGAGATCGCGTATCTCATTTTCGGATAAATCCCTTTCATCCGCAAACAGAATATCAATAGGCTCATTGGTGGAGAGCGGAACAAGTTGCAGACCATACCAATCCGTGATATATCGAGCTATGGAAGCCCAGAACCGATGCTTATCAAGATGAGACGGGTCGATTCCCCAAATAGCAGCACGCTTCCCGCTGTAGCCGACACGTCGGAGTTGAGAAGATGCCGTAAGTATATTTTGGTCTGAATTTTCCGTGAGAGACGGTGATTGTGGATTTTCAACGCCCACTGGACGTTCGAGAGGGAGTGACACCTTGACAATAGTGCCTTCGCCCTGTCGACTTCGAATATTAATTTTCCCGTTAAGGGTTTTCACAATGCTGCGAACAATTGATAGACCGAGACCAGTGCCTACTGATAGGGGATCTTCTTGTGAGAACGGAGTGAATAGGTGCTTCCGAAGATATTCCTTCGAGATGCCCTTGCCCGTGTCTGATATGGTCAATGTCACTATATCTTCAAGACCCTGGCGGCGAGAACGGGCCTTTGAGCGCTCACTGGCCTCGATGCAGACGGAGATCCGACCCTTCTTGGTATACTTCAGTGCATTGCCCAGAATATTCATTATTAGGCGTCTCAGCGACCCCGGTTGGACTTTGTACATCCAGTCATTATCAGGAATGTCAACAATGACGTCCACTCCTGAAACGTGACTAACTTGGATACCATCTTTCACTGACTTGGAAGGAAGTGTTGCCAATATATCTGCGGGGCTATTGGTAGACGTGGCTGACCTTTGTATATGGGAATGGCCCAAGCACACACTGTCTATGACATCCTCTGTCAAGAGCGCCAGATCTGTGAAAACCAATGTATCCAGATGCGCCACAGATTCCTCGGAGGGTTTTGGTTTCCATGGATCTTTTCCACGCTTGAAGGTTTTCTTGTGTCTTTCCAATGACATTATTTTGCTGAAGTCCAAAACTTGATTCATTGTATCCAAGAGAGTTCGACCACATGCATTTATGGTATCGAGAAGGGTCTCCTGGAACTGGTCCAAGGTAGTACTTCCAAAAAACTCGGCGGCAGCCAAGACACCATGCAACGGGCTGCGTAGTTCATGAGAGATGCTGCTTATAAAATCCCCCTTTTGACGGTCTGCAATAACTGATTCAACACGGCTGTATTCAGTCATGATAGAGGATCCGAAGGCATATACTGAGCTCAGATCAACAGCAGGACTGAAAACTTGCGTTGCCCGGGAAGTCCAACAAAAACACCCAGCGAACCACTGGGTATCTGTGGCATTCCACAGAGGGACAAACATTACTTGAGATGCACCAGGAAAGAACTCGTTCAATTTGCTGGTCTCCGAAGCCTTGGACTTCTTCCTTTGTTTCTGAGACTCGTCGGTTAACTGATCTTCCGAAGTTGAGAATGTCCCATCACAGTGGAATGACCAGAGTTTCCCTTTAGGATAGCGATGCGTCAACTGTTTCAGGAATATATTGTCAAGGTTTACAGCTGGGTCTGACAGCGTAGAGTTTGCCTGGTATGAAAATGGATCGTCTCTGGTGGACAGTGCAAGAATAGGAGCAGAGCTTGTAGATTCAGCGGGGTCACAATGACCGGCTGCGACATAATCGGAGGAGTTGTCACTGGTCTCCAAGAACATGACACCGCCAGCACCATCCAAGTCCAGGCTTTGTCGCAAGAGGTTCGCAGCACGTTGGAAAAGCCAGTGGTTGCTGCTCGAGGAGCCCTCCGAGCTACCGCCGTCATCCTGCGAGCTGTGCAACGATACCGCTGGACTGGAGGGAACACATGTATCGTTTTGCTCAGAAGCTGGGCTCAAAGGTTGTGTATCGCCGCATTGAGACGCTTTTCCTGATCCAGAGCGTACTGAGCGAAATCCCAGTTCATCGTTTTGAGAGCTTGTAGATCGACTGGCTCTGAGGTGAGGCGATCCCTGCGGAGACAAACTCTGTGCTGGGCTGTTCGAATGAGACGATATGTGAGCGTTGCTGGCAAAACTGGAGTTGCCATCGACAAAAAGATGGAGACCACGCGATAGCCGCGAGGCCCGTCGTCCTTCTGCGGCTTGACGGCTAACTAATAAATAGTCCATTGCCAACTCTGCCACTTTTCCTAATGTATCCTTCTCGATATCAGATAACCCTTGACGGGGTTCGGAATCCAATACAAACAAACACCCCAGATTGATACCGCTGCCGCTAGTTAGGGGTGTTCCCGCATAAAAACGAGAGTGTGGCTCTTGTGTCACAAAAGGCAATCCTTTGAATCGTTCTTCTTGTTGAAGGTCGTCGACAACCAAAAATGAATACAATCCATCTTCGCTGTCTGAGTCAAGTGCAACTGTTTCCTATTCGAAGGAATAGGCATCAATATGTAAAATATTTGCAATATTATGAATATCAGCTTACCTGGCATATATTCCAAGCATCTGACAATGTCGATGTTCCAGCGAAAAGCTTATCTCCTTCTCCGAGGGATGACTTTGAGCTCTTAAGATTGGTGTTCCTTGTGGCTTCAGCCAATATAAACTGAGATTCAGTGTTCAATACACTTTAGAAAACGTCAGATCAGGGTAAACGCTAGGGCAGGAGAGTAATGTACGTAATGAAAGCACGCTGCGCGTTCAGTTGTAGAGCGGCCAGTTGTGCAAAAGAAGTCAAAGTTGTATTTGGACTTGACGGAGAGCTGCCTTCGACAAAATTTGTCTCTGGATCAGAGGGATCAGGTACAAAGGGTGTCGATACTCTTGAGAAATCTCCTATTGGGGCCACATGCTCATCAAATTGTAGAAGTGATGCATTGAGTGCTGCTGGATTTTCTGGTTGGAAATATCGATATAGCTCGCGTTTCTGGCGATCTGCCTCGTAGTTCATATTTTGGCTATATGGATTGTCCATAGCCCAAACCCATAAGAGTACGGATAATATGCGGGGATGAGAGACCTCCCAGTCAGGCATGTACTCCATGTACGTCATGACACGTGACACCATACATTGTCGATCGCGTAGGTCATTCCGAGGCAAAGGGCTTGCTAAGAGATATCTGAGAACTGAGTTGATAGGGTAAACGTGCCATAGCTTGCTTGAATTGCTCATTATTCATGTGTATAACCTCTATGCACCTAGGTAAGTATTGGAACCAACCCGGGTTTACATACAATATGACACAACATTGGAGGAATGGAGACATTGCACAGTCACAAGTAGATCAAGTAATTAGATGCACAAAATGCAACATGCATGGACGACGATTCATGTTGAGAGCCAGTTTACTTTCACTTGAGTGTGAATATCCCCACGTAAGAGATCACGCCGAATTAAAGAAAAGGTGGGTGAGAGAAGAGTATCTGCCTGGTCGTAATTGGAGCAAAAAAACAAGATAAAAGACTCGGGGTATTATGCAAAAAGATATCAGATGACAGAAACGCCAGAACGCTGGAGGTTCAAATAAAAAGGCAGAGAGAACGAGTGATGTTGGTTGTGGGCCGTTGGCGATGCCTCAGAAAGTTCCGTGGTAAACCCTCTTAGGTCCGATGTTTGAGGCCTAGATCATGAACAGGGGAAACGACCAAAGCATTGACAACATGTCCAGTCTTCCACCCTTGATCAACGAGGGGTTCACGTTCATTCAGCAAGTGACCTAGGTAGGCGATTCGAACGCGCCTATCGTTCTTGAGCTAAACAAAAAGTCAGCAATAATCCAGAAAACGAAACGATCAAATCAATAAAAACTAACCTTGGCTTCCTGATGCACCTTTCTCGCCAGAAACCCCACAGTTTGACCCTTACCAATAGAAATCAGGATATCCGGGCCTCCACGATCACTCAAACGAGCACGTACACGGATCAAATCCCGCTCACTGGTCTTCCCCTTCTCTTCCCGGCGACGTTCAACATCCTGGGAAATCAACTCGTCCCCGGAAGCATCATCCGTAGCGAGCTTACCATCCGAGAGTGCCCCAGAGTCCTGCTCCTCTTCCTCATACCCAACAGGACCACCATCTTCACTACCCGTCCGTGAAGACGATGGAACCATGTTCTCCGGGTCACTGGCAACACATTGCGGAACCTTGTAAAGCACACCCTGCTCATCATAGCATCCCTCACAAAGATCCCCGGTGGGAACAGTAATTCCCGCAGCATCAATAATACCCTGCGCAGTAATCAGGTCACCGCTGCGAATCAGCGATACCACTGTCGAAACAGCGGCCCATATTTCCGGCCTGCCGGTAACGCGCGTCTCGAAGAATTCTGCGCGCTCGCGGTCCAGCTGTGTGCGCGTCCAGGTCCGTCGCTTGCTGCGCCACACATGGTTGCGCACTGGTTCGTTGTAGTGCTCATTTAGAGGGAGGTTGGGGCGCCGCGTTCGTTGCCTGGACTGCGTAGAGCGGTCGCTGGTATCCCTCGTAGCTGTTGGATGTGAGATGTGTTCTTGGTTGTGGGATTGATCGTCGACATTACGCGACAACACTGACACGCAACAGCCCTGTGTTGAAGGTGGGATTGTTAGTTATGATTATGGCGCCATTTGTGGGTTTAGATAGCATGGAGATGAGAGCCGGGGCTTTAAGTCGTGTGACGTCCGATGCCAAGCAACGTGACCAGACTTAATGGTGATGATATGTGTATAGGTTCTTGAGGTTATGAGGTCGGAGTCAGGGTCAGATTCTTACCATCTTGTTTGCGATCAAGGAGCTCCATATGAGGAGGGGAAATAGTTTTGAGAGGGGCTTGCGTGGAGTAGTGGTCAACGCTCTAAAGCGAACTAGATCCTTAAGGCTGAGCACAGACCTTGGTTGATGACGAGGCAAAAAGAGGCAGCTGTCAAACGAAAAAGGAATAAAAAATGAAGATGAGGATGAAAATGAAACAGAAGCAGAAACAAGAGAAGAAACAAGGGTACATTCCACAATTTGTCCCATTCGCCTATCCCATGCCACTGGGGCGGCTCCAACAGTCACACAATGATCTACAGAGCACAATTGCTTAATTCATACAGAGTACATAGTACAGGGGTATAATTAAGAAATTTCATGAATTCTCATTAGATTATACAAATAAGCCTGATTTCAGTCATCTTCGTCGTCACTCCCAAAAATAGCTTTGAAAACTGCATCGCCGGGCCGCTCTGCCTCCAGGGCATCATTGCGCTCAGGTTCAACAACTACCGGGGGTGGCGCGGCGATAGCAGGCTGGCCACTTGCAGATGGATTAAGACCATCTGCTGTGGGGAGATAACCTAACGAGTCTATGAGAAGTTGGTTCATGATATCCTGCGACACCAATGGTTTGGGGCCAGTGTCAGCTTGGAATCCGGCGGACTGGAAGCGCGTGCCAGGTCCGGAACTGGAGGCTCCAGACTGTTCGCCGGGGTCAAGTTGCACATTCTCTGGTGGTTTGACGTTGAATCGCTTGCATAGAAGACGAGTTGGGTAAAAGGGGATGGTGCTTCGGGTCATTGGGCCGAACATGCCAATTTTGCGGCCGCTACTGCCGGGTCGTCTGGCTTTTCAGCGGGTCTACTGAGCCCAGATTCTGCAGAGTCAGGGGTATCTGAGACAACCTTGGGCGCGGTGGAAGAGGAGGTAAATCGGGATGCCATAACTCCGGACATGGGTTTGAAGACCTCGGCAGCTCGGCCAAATTCTTGCATCTCTATAACCCATTCATCGGTGCTAGAACCTTCCACTCGTTCTGGGAGGGTAGAGCGAGTCCCGGCACTAACTTCGAGGAATATTTGGTAACGTGCACGCTTCTTCTCATCTTCTTGGTAAGGCATCCACCCACTAACGGCCCGAGCTAGGGCTTGGGCGGCAATCTGTTTGTCGAGTTTTGGCACGAGGTCCCAAAGATCCTTGCGCCTTTGTGATTCAGGGAGTTGGTATCCTTCGGGTGCTTTTTCTCCTAAAGCCGGAGGTAAATTGGCGTTGCCGGTGAGTTTGGCAATTCTATCTCGTGCCTCGGGAGTCATGTAATCAAAGATAGACTTTCCAGGAAGTTGAGCCTCACCCAGAAGTGCTGCTCTGGACGTGGGATTAAGCGACGAGGCTTTTGCAGCGTCAGCTGTAGAGACATAATTCGATTGATCTCGTTTTTCTGACGAGATTTCCTTCGCTGGTTTCCAGTCCTCGGGTATCACAGGAGGATCGTATTTCTTCTCTGAAATCGACAGCCCCGTGATGGCATCGGCAAGAATGAATCCATCTAGCGGTAAGCGCCCGTCGCGGCACTTTCGGAAACCTCCAATCCCGCGTGATGCGGCCATCTTCTTCGATATGAACACGGGCTTTGACTTCAAGAGTGGGTTGGATGACGCGATTGTTGGTTCTGGTTTGACCTTTTTCTTCTTCTTTTTATCCCCTCCAATGGTCTTGTTGTATGATATTTGTGGACCAAGAGAATAAGGATCTTCATCGTCCGACCCAGTGTCATTCAAAGGACCAACCCCGAGTCCTCCCCGCCGAGATTCCTTCTGCTTGGGGGGCTGACCTTTCCCTTGGATAGCCAACCGGCCCCCAAAGAACGAATCTGATTCCTCGGCATCTTGGATGGGCTGCAACGCATTGTGAGACTCTAGGCGCGATTCGCCCTCGAACCCAAGACCTTTGCGGTCGGTCTTGCGAATGAAAGCAACCATGGGTGGGTTTTCAGGAGCAAAAAGGTATGTTTCTCCCGCATCGCCACCCGGGGCAGAGCTTTCGTCCAGATTGGCTTTGCGTCGCACCTTAGGCCCGATTCCTTGACCTTCACGCCAACCCATCCTTTTCAAAAGCTTCACTCCCATGGTTTCCCCGCCGGTTTTCAATATATCCATGAGCCCTACTCTGCGTGTAGCATCTAGCTCGGTCGAACCAAAACCGGCGAATTCATCGGCGGTCTGTAGTTGTCTGGCTTCTTCCTGTTCTCGCAGGTCATCCGCATCCATAAAATCCTCAGGTCGTTTCTGTTCAGCCTTCTGGGCACGGTTCTGACGAGATGAGACAAATGTCGCAGGGGTCCATCCTTCTTTCGAGCCGACGGAGTTGAAGTATCTAGCAGGTGTCAGTAGTTGTCCTTTGGACGGTCATTGGGTTAAGAGCTACTCACCCCGCGCTGAATCCACCGGTGAAAGCGCCATGAAGACGTTTGCTCCCATGTTCGTCCCTCACTTCCTGTTTCCATATTGGTACAAAGGAGCCATCGTCGCGGACACTCTCGTCAAGTGGGGGTAACGGAGTTCCATAAAAGGCGTATGGAGATTGCTCTGCTTGAAGGTCGGCCTCGAGCGCGGCGCGAGTACGTTTTAGGGCCATATTTTTTGAATGGGACAATCACCCATTGAGGAGTTGTTGATCACGTCATCTGCATGGGAGAGATTGTGCGTGCTGAAAGAAGTTATAATGAAGGTGTGTGAGAGTCGCATTGACAGCTCTTAGCTGCAGGTTTATGCCTGAGGCCTCAAAGGGATTTGGCTTATATAAGAGCTGAGTCAGGCCCTGGATGTCTCACCAGCCCGTGAAGAAGCTTGGAACAATAACCCTAATGGTTAGTCTAATGCCGATCAATCTTGAAATGCTTGGTCCAATTCTCTAATTTGTAAAAGAAATGAAACAACTGTGAAAAAAAAGAGAAAATAGTTCAATATATATACAGAGTATGAAATAAGTATCTTGTACGGAGTAATACTAGGCAGATACACAAAGAGCTCCTAATAAATAACGAAATTGGACCCGGCCATCTCGGCATCTGCTCGGCCATCTAGGAGGGTTCCTGATTGGGGGGGCCCACGGGTTGCTCGACCACGTTCCTCGGAATCATTGATCAACCCCCCTTGTTAGGGAGATCTACATATTCTACATATTCTACATATTGTACATACTCTATATATTCTAGATAACGTTTAATGTTTAATGAATAGATACTCCATATATGTTGTTCTAATAGGTCATTTATACTACCCCTCTCAAATAATATATTAAAATATTTATATTTTACATGTAATTTTAAAAAGGCCAGCCAAGAACTCTATTCCAGGTATGGTGTTTGTTTGTCAACCCTTGGCGTCTTGGGGACAGCCTTTGGAGACTTAGTAGGATTTAGGGGCGTTATGGCGACTTTTTCTTCTTTTCTTCCCCCTCAACTCCTAGTATATTACAATCATGTCCTTTTTCACCTCCTTTTCATAGCCTTCGTGCTTGCCCTTGTCAATAATTACTGCAAGGTTGTTGAAATTTAGTGTGCGGCCGGAAGCTACCCCCGATTTCGGGAACCATTCTCAATGTTCGGCTCATTCCCTCGGAGTCGCAGGCTATTCTATCTGCTATTGGCCTGCGCAATAACCACCACATGCCTCGTCAACCTCTTAATCCTCACCCATGCAGTCGACAACTCTATAATCCGCCTCCCTAATCTGGGTCTCTTCGGCGCAACAACGAGTCCCGTATTCGGAGAGTATGCGCACGATGAACACCCTATCGCCGACCTAATGAGGGATGCGAACCGGAAATGGCGGGAGTATGATAATGGTCGCACGACAAGTTTCCGCCAAACAGTCGCCAAATACCGTGAATCATATGGACGACACCCACCTCCCGGGTTCAAGGAATGGTACATGTTCGCACGCAAAAAGAAGGCACATAATGTGGACGATTTCCAACAGATTACAAGCGATCTGCGGCCTTTTTGGGCGGTTCCTCCGGCGGAAATTCGACAGATGGCAGCCAAGCTACAATCTAGCGACGGCATTGCAGGTGTGCAGATCCGCAATCAGGAGGTTGTTCAATCCCCTGTTGAAGGATGGAGGGTTGAAACACTACGGAAGTCGATTAAACGCATTGCTCAGTATCTTCCAGATATGGATATTGCGCTTAATATTATGGATCAGCCGCGAGTCATGGTTTCATATGAGGATACACAGGAATACCTCCGCACCGAAGCCCTCACCAGAAGCTTACCCAGCGATCCGCAGGATCGATTCACCCCAAACATGAAATATTTGTTAGAGGAGGGTTCCAACATCGAGGACCATGTTGACCCATCTTGGTTCTCTATCGCTGGAAAGCTATACATGGACTTCGCCAAAGATTCCTGCGACCCTCTCTCTCCTGCTCGGAATAGCAATCTCACGGTGGACGATGCCGACAGGCTATACAAATCCCCTTCAGGTGGGTTTATCACCAACTTTACCGCTTCCTCTGATTTATGCACTGTCGGTCCCGTTCTCGGAGAAAAGCACGGGTTTTTGTTTTCCGCATCCAGCAACCTCATCACAAGAAAACTGGTCCCAGTCTTCAGCGAGTGCAAGGTTAGCGTGAACAACGATATCCTTTTCCCTGCAAATATGTATTTCATGGACGACAAGCGCTATGTGTACAACTCGCGACACGACTACGAGTGGGAAGACAAAGCGGACACTCTCCTCTGGCGTGGCGTCACATCTGGGGGCGTTCAGCTTGCAGATAATTGGCAGAATATGCACCGCCAACGCTTTGTTCAAATTACCAACAACACTAACATGGGATCAGAGACGGTCTCCATTCTCTCCGAAACCAGTCTGGGGAAGTATCATACCTATCCCGACTTCCACCCAGGCAAATTTTCATTGGACCACTTCGATGTCGGCTTCACTGAGGCTTGGGGCTGCATCCCGGACTGCTCCTTCTACAAGGATATTTGGACATACAAAAAGCCTAAGGATTTCAGCGAGCAGTTCAAGGCGAAATACCTCGTCGACATTGACGGCCACAGCTTCTCCGGACGGTGGCGCGCCTTTCAGCTCAGCAAATCACTGGGGATCAAGGCAACTATTTTCCGTGAATGGCATGACTCCCGACTGTTCCCTTGGCGTCACTTCGTCCCCATGGACAACCGTTATGATGACCTGTACGGATTAATGACCTACTTCCTTGGTCTGGAACCACAAGCATCCCCGGCAGATGCGTTTTCAGTTAGCGAGCCGTACATCCAGAAACATGACTTTGAGGCTGAGGTGATCGCTTCTCGAAGCCGGGAATGGGCACAGCATGCGCTGCGCAGCGAAGATCTTGATATCTATCTCTATCTTCTTCTCCTCGAGTACGGACGCATCATTGATGACAATCGCGACAGCATTGGGTACGGCGGCGACGGAAGTGAGCTGGACCACTTTGACGATCAGTATCCTTTCGCTCCGGCGATACCGAATATCGTGAATCCTCCACTGAACACTGATGAACAATGATTTCCCTATATATACCATTTCTGTTGCATATTTTTTTCTTTCTTCACTGGGGCTGGCTACTTTTGCATTTGAAGTATTTGTTCGTTTATTTATGTCTTAATGACCAACTGCATTTTTATCTCATCAGCGTGACTTCAGTACGTCCGTTTGTTATCTTGTGTATGTTAATATCGTCATATTGGTTTGTGAGAAGAAATGAAGAATAATTGAAACCCATCTCCGATATATATATATTCGGGTATAAATGAATGATGTGACTCGAATATCTCCTGGGAATAGTGTATTCGTTCAATGATAAAGGTTATTTCTAACATTTAATTTGATATCCAAGTATTCCACCATGACTTTGGCTCTCAATTGATACTAAAGACCTACACGACATGGAAAGTAGAAGCAGTGGAGCCCAATCTCACGAAAGCGAGACAGGTTGTGGAATTCGCTTATATAGTCAACATCCGAGTCTCCATACATCAACTAGCATCATTGGTCTAGTGGTAGAATTCGTCGTTGCCATCGACGAGGCCCGTGTTCGATTCACGGATGATGCACAACAATTTCTTTTTTTGTTTTTGTTCATTGTAGGGGTGAGGATTCTCTAGCTCTTTTGTTTTTTTTTTTTTTTTTTTTTTTTTGGGGGTTTTTTTGGTGTAGTTGGACGGAAAACGATCAATATGCAAAAACACCATGGGCTACATCTCGATTGAAATAAAAATATTGCATACAACTCCTCGAGCTGGTCTACTTGGAATCCGAATTCAATCATACAAAATAGACCGAAAGAATTGGTAGAAATACTTGAGCAGAGATTGTTCTACAAAACAGCCCTAAGGTTATCCACAGAAGATCAGTTTTCCAAACAAGGGTCCCCTAAAAGATCTTTAGCAGTCGCTCTCTCATTCGGTATTCATGTCAGAGTTCCATGCATAAACCCGACAAACGCAGGAGGTAGACCCATTTGCCTTCTAGCGACTCAAGAATACCCGTCTCAGGAATGAGGACATTTCCCTTCCGGTTTCCTAAATAACCAGATTGACAATAAGTCTCGTCACGCACCGAATGATCAAAGCAAACCAGCACATACCATCTTAACCCCATCACTGAGCCGTTTTCTCAGGATTGAGCGCTAGAAAATGCAGCACAGCAATGAACCGTGCAAGGTGGGATTCCTCGTACATTATTGGAAGGAATTTCCAAAGAATGGACACGATTAGTACATCTATAAAAACTAGTTTAGCACCTATGAGTACCTTTCACATGTTATTTATAGAAAATCCAGAAAACTGAAAAAAGCTAGGAAGTATCTTAAAGAAAAGTCTTCCAAAAAGATACGATAAGGCCGCATAAGCGGCGGAATATTCTTGTATATAACAAAAAGGAATGGTTGGAAAACAAGAATTCGCGTATATCTACATATGTATAAACCGAGTCACATCAACAAACCACCTGGATGTATTAGATGATCAACACAACCATCTAGAACTGGAAAAAGCCAGCAACAAGAGAGCCGACAGCCATGGCAAAGATAGAGGTGTAGTAGGTCACCGGCGCAGCCGAGACAAAGCTAATAGAAGAAGCCGCGGCGGAAGCCGAAGCTGACGAAGAAGCAATCAAGGAAGAGCTGGCCTTAGCCGAAGCAGAAGTCTTACTCGAGCTCGAGTTCGACGAGCTCAGGTTAGTCGAGGTCGTAGCGTTGGTAGCCTTGATGCTGGTGTAGGCACCAGTCTTATCGGTGTACTTGTATGCGGAAGCCGGGTTGTAGTTGATGATATCGACCGACTCAACGTACATGGAGAAGGGACCTTCGGTGTAATCGGTCTCGCCGCCGGCCCACTCGATTGTGCCCTCGGAGTTATCTGGGTCACCGCCGGCCCAGATACCGATGCGGATGCGCATGGGGGTTTGGGGGTAGTTTTTGCCGTTGAGGGCGTCGGCGTATTTGAGTGTGCGCACGACATCGCCGTCGAGGAGCCACTGGATGCGCTCGGCGGTCCAGTCGACTGAGTAGGTGTGGAAGGTTTCCTCGGGAGTTGAGACGGTTACGGTTGTGCCGCGGTCGTAGGAGGTTGTGTTTCCTTTGCCGAAGTAGTCGGTTTGGATTTCAGTGTCATAGGTACTGATTTGTTCCTGTTTTTGGTGTTAGTGAGTGCATTTTTTAGGGGGTGGAGATTGGTGGCTTCGGATGTCGGTGGACTTACCCAGTCGATCTCATCCAAGTCGTCGGACTCTAGGATCCAGGTGCTGATGATACCGGTGCCGTTGGCGGCTCTCATCTTGACGTCGACATGGCCGAAGAAGATATAGAATTCACTTTCGATTGTCGGGGCGTCACCCTGCTCGGAAACGGTGAACTTAGCGCCGAGGTCGGTAGTGGTTACGGTGCCGGCAGTGGTGTTCCAGCGACCCAGAGATCCAGAGGTAAAGTCGGTGCTCAGACGGTACTTGTTCAGACCGGTGTCTGCTGGGCAAGTCTCTGGAAGTGAAGTGTTAGTGTGGTTTCGCGGTGAATCATATGAGATAGTACATACTCTTCGTAGGGTTGCAGCTAGTGGTAGTCTGTGCAGCAGCAGTCGCAGCTAGGGCGAGAGTAGCCCACTGGTAGTAAGACTTAAAAACCATATTGAAGTTTGTAGAGCCGTAGAGTGAACGAATGAAGTAATGGATGCACAGAACGATCGACAAGAATTGAAGAAAGTGGGCGAATCCACAGGAATTATAAGCGGTGGGATTTAGCTTCAGTAAACAAGCGAGAACAACACTTATATGAACATGGGTTCGTTATTTATTCTTAGATCTGCGCCAATATGTCTAACCTTGGGACATCACATTGACCGCGACGTAGATGTATCCAGCCACCACAACGGGGGATAACGATTGGCTCTTTGAATAGAAACCATAGTGGAGCAGGTTTGCGAGACATGTACTTTGTAGATGTGTAGAATATCAGAATGTATTAGTTGTGGCTTGAAATCAATTGTCGACCCACCCGAAGAAAGCTTGGATAGAAGATGACGGGGCAGCTTGCGTAGTTGGCCCCAGATGGTTGGGAGCTAGCGGGAGGACTACGTACGCCTGGTAATAATTCTTCCGACGCTGGCACCTTGGGAGTTCTAGTAGATATTCTCTCTTTACTCAATTATTTCTTGTTTGGCATTTGACAAATTTCGGGTATATTTTGATTGCATTCCGGCTAGATTGAAGTGTTGAAGGACGACCTATGTACGGACGAACATTGAGTTGATTTGTAGTACAGTAGGAGTACTACCTTTCTGAGAAATTATGAGGGCCTGAGTGATAATTTTATCGGTGGGGCATTATAAGTGTTCTAATTACGCCATGCCCCATGTCTGAGTTGCATCTCCAAATTATTCGTAGAAGTGACCTATCAAAGGAGAGTTGGCCACAAAGATGGTTCATGCTCGATTGAAACCGATGTCTTAAATGACAATATTTCTCTGTTATTCCCGAGGTCATTTCTCTCTTTCCTACTGTCAAATCACTACAAGATGACACGCAAGCATGAAGCAGAACGGTTAGCTAGTGAGGATTCAAGCAGAAATAGTATATTCAAGTCAGAGCGGACGGATCCTCTTATTTCACCAGAGCCCCTCCCAACACACAGATTATTGCAAATTATGTTGACAAAATGAACAAAGGAATATATAAGGATAATGGCGAGCCAGACAAACCCTCAACTAAGAAGGTCCATCACGAAGCAGCAGGAAAGCTTCGTACTGCTTCCGAGTCATCTTCCGACACTTCTTGCCCCAGTAAATCATCGGGATAGTGGTCATAATAAAGCAGAAGCTCAAAACACCAATCGCAATGAAAACCTGGGCAAGACTTTGGGCATCCAACCAATTCTGAGCCGTGAATGTGAAGAGACAACCAATAGTGTTGTTGATGACAGAGACACCGACCATGCCCTCCAGCACCATATCCGGGTACGCATCCATGAGATACGCCATGCTAAGATCGCCCGCACAACCCCAGCCGAAACCAATGAAACCCAGTCCAAGATATGGCATATGCCAGTCCCAGCCTTTATCCGAGCTGATGCCGAAGAGCATGAGGCCAGCAGGGCCAATAAATGCAACAGGCAATAGGAGCCAAAGACGCTGCTCAGCCTCGAAGATGCCATTGTTTCGCTTGGCCATCCACATCACAAAGAAGTCGGAGAACCATCCACCATAAATGCAGCCGAGGACTGACCCGATTAGGGTGGGTACGTTCATGATACCGACTGCGGCATCGGTGTAGTACCAGGGCGCCTCGTACCAATTGTCTGTCTCAACGGTGAGGTAGAAGGTCAACCAGGCGTCTTGGGCACCCCATTGAAGGCCTGAGTAGAGGACTGCCGGGAAGGTGAAGATGCGCAGTGTGTGCAACAAGCGACGGCAATACTGCTTGAAGCCAGTCCCAACCAGAGTTGGCGATGGGGTGATTAGGGCGATGCGCTGGAAATACGTCTTTCCTTTTTCCTGACCGCATTCCTCGTCAAGTTCACGGTCGGAGGGTGTCGGCTGCACGCTCGCAATCGGTCCCTCCTTTTTATCCAGTGCGACATCATTCGATGTGCGTTCAGCATTGCTAGGGGATGCATCATGCCCGTGAATAGGGTTGTTCCGATCGAAAGACGTTTCCTCCAATGTGAAGTAAAAGATAACGATCAAGGCCCCGGATATAATGACAGCAAGCCAGCCTACCCATCTCCATCCCAGGGGAGAGTCGACGATAAAGCTGGACACCATGGGTCCCATGAAGGTACCGATACTGGTGGCAAGAACGTATAAACCCAGTACCAGACCTCTTTGATGCTGAAAGAACAGATCAGAAAGAGATAGCTGGGCAAGCGCCTCGGCACAGGATTCGGAGGCGCCGACAAAAAATTGACTCCAGATGTTGTCGCTGACATTTTGTGTGCGAGCTAGCCCGATGGAGCCAACGACGGAAAACACCAGACAAATCAGGTAAGAGATACGTCTTCCATATAAGAAAGGTGCTGGACCGAGTAGCAATGTGGTATATCCAATGGCAACAAACAAGACGCCTGCGGCAATGTTGATCTGGTCCCACGTGATACCCAGTTCAGCGTTCATGCCATTGCCAGCGCTGCTGGCATCATTGGCGGTTGCGGCGGTCAGGGCAACAAACACAAGGACCAAAAGTGAATGCCAATACCGTCTCCAGATGCTCCAGTTCAGTGGATCATTTGGAGAATTGGTGGGTGTGGGAATTAATGCGACCTCCCCGTCAACGCAAATGCGCTCAGTGCCATTGAGTAGTAGGTCGTCTTCCATTGTTAAATTCAAAATCGGAATCTGATTAAAACCCGACCTGGCAAGCCAGTCATGCTGGAGACATTTTATTGAGAAAAGAGAGTCTCTATGAGATGAGGAGAAAAGAAAAGAAAAGGGAAAATGGCGAGGATAAGAATTTTCGACATGTGGGGCGGTCCTGGAAGAGATAAGCCTTGGAACAACGGGCTAAGCATTTCCAAGGACAACTTAATACATTTCCTTTGTTTATTACATAGATATACTTTATTTCACTTTATATACTCCGCATATCAAATCAGATTGGTTTAGATTATATCCGAAAAAATATATTTGCCTTTAGGGCGGTTCCAGATAGCTGCCGTGGACCTCAAGTGGGCTTATCATGACCCCATATCCCCTCCCGATGTCAACTTCTGGTCGTGTGACCCTTATTTACTCCAAAACCTCGAACCCGAATGTGAAGTTACAACTTAGAATGGCACAGTCTTTTGAAAATTTCCCCATGTAACAGCTATAGGCCATGTGTGACGCATTCTGGCGATGGGGGAGCTCCGGGGTTCCAAGCTAGAGATCACTTGGCATCCGAGTATGTAACTTGGTTTTCCATAGTATCATTCGTTTTTTTCCTAGGCGTTTTTAAGTGGGAAATTAAGATAATATTGGAACGACAAGACATCATTTGGTTAGCTTAGCATCCTCAAACAGCGCACTTGGGTTGACCAGACCTCTAGGAGAAATCCTCTAGTCAACAATCTATCAAAGCCCAAAGCTTAAGACTACAAATAGTACGCATAATTAGTGCTTATCGGAGCTTCATAGCAGTTACGTGACAGTAATTTAGTCTATTGAAGCTCGAATATACGCCACGTCGTCGAATCCAAGCCTTGGTTTACAAGTTCAACAGATAGCCGTAGTTGGGCGAGAGAGCACACCCCCGTATCTTTCCACTTCCTCAAGCTAGGCCTACCTAGGTAGGTCCATGCCTATCTGTATGCATATTAGGATCTGCGTTTTAACCATATCATTCTCTGACATCAAACGATCTGGCGTTCACGGGGGTATCACATCTCTCATTGGTCAACACTGTTTTGATGCAACATCTAACGTGATCCTGCACGTTGAGAAATACGATACCGTGTGGAAACTGGAGATAGGAGATTTAGCAGAGGAAACCCATGTCATTTCCACTCGATAGAAGGGGCAGGAATATCAAGCGGTGATGATTCGGTTTTGATTTTCAAAGTTGTATCTTCTTACTGAGAGTACAAGAAACATCTATGAATTCTTTTTAGAGCTGTATCAACCTCTTGCGGCATAATGTAAAATTAGCTGGGCAGTTCGCTAAGGCAAACTTGGAATGTATTGGTGCAGGAGCAACCTTCGAAGTGCTTGGGGAGTATGTGACTGATTGGGAAGGCAGCTGCCCAGGCGGGAAAGTCACCTTGAGTCACACGCCCCTTCTGTATTGGAATGTTGTTTACTCCTTACCTTTCTCCTTTTCCTTCTTCTTTCCGACGATTCCACTAATCTAAGACTGAACAATAAATTTACTTTCAGATCTTTTTTCTGCTTCTCGCTATCTCTGAAACAAACTGCAACGCTAACTCGGCGTCCGTTCTGCAAAGTCGTCATTGTTAACCTTAGAAACCCCATCGGTGGGCTCCAAGGCCACGATCCGGGATGTTATCTACATCGTTGATCTAATTGGACGTTATTTAGGGCTCACGTGGGCAATCCCGGCCAACCGAGTCAAATGTCACTTGTGATTTGTCGGTCGATGCGGGTACATGCGGGCAGGATGTGGGTCTGATCAGATTTGGGGGACATCCATGGATGAAGACATGAATCACTACGGAGTAAGGGGAATGGAATGACAATAAAACCGTCTCCTACTCGAAGAATTTGACTATGTCAAAAAAATACCTTGGAATACTACCTTTGTAGATTCCCTCCAAGGGTTCCCCTCACAGCCTATCGCAATGAATAGCGACCACTGCGGACTTTTGCTTTTATTGGCGGTTTAAGATTTACCGCTTCTTTCTCCGCCCTTTTCAAAGTTATTTCCCTACTACCTACGGAGTACTTTGTAGGTAATTATTGTTATATGCCTAGGTGTATCAAACTGATGACAAGTCTTGTAAAGAAAGTGGGTAATAACCAAAATAATCGGTCGTTTATATGACCTCCATATTTAAATATAGGATATGATTCCAACTATTTTGTTATCTTCTCAATATCCACTTGAAATGACATTTGAAATATTTGTAAGTAATCCATATTTCCTATATAGGAAAGTACATCTCCATATCTAATATATGGATCTACATATCCATGTGACTA